TGAGACAGAGTCTCGCTTTGTTGTCCAGGCTAGAGTGAGTGCCGTGGCGTCAGCCTAGCTCACAGCAACCTTAAACTCCTGGGCTCAGGCAATCCTCCTGCCTCAGCCTCCCGAGTAGCTGGGACTACAGGCATGCGCCACCATGCCCGGCTAATTTTATATATATATATCAGTTGGCCAATTAATTTCTTTCTATTTATAGTAGAGATGGGGTCTTGCTCTTGCTCAGGCTGGTTTTGAACTCCTGACCTTGAGCAATCCGCCTGCCTCGGCCTCCCAAGAACTAGGATTACAGGCGTGAGCCACCGAGCCCGGCCCTGGGTTGACTTTTTTCTTTCAGATCTTTAGAGATTTCATTCCATTGTCTTCTTTCTTGCATGATTTCTGAAGAGAAGTCTTCTGTAAGTCTTATCCTTGCTCCTCTGCAAAAAAAAATAACTGTGTCTCTTTTTTTCTCTGGATGCTTTCAAAGTATTTATTTTGTATCTAGCTTTTAGCATTTTTAATATGATAATACTTAGATATGCTTTATTATTTATTTGTTTTGATTACTTGGTATTTATCTTGGCTGATGTTTGAGTTTTGGGATCTGTAGTTTGGTATGTGCATGATTTTGCAAAATTCTCAGTCATTATTTCTTCAAATATTTTATTCTTTTTTTTTCTTCTTATGGGATTATCATTATACATGTATTAGGCAGTTTGTTATTTTTCCACAATTCTTGGTTTCTCTGTTCTAATTTTTTAACTCATATTTTTCTTTGTGTTTCAGTTTGGATAATTTGTATTCACATGTTACAAAGCTTGTTATCTTTGACTGTGATAAGTCTACTAATGTGTCTGTAAGGGACACCATCTATCTTAAGTGTTTGATTTCTTGCTTTTTAATTATATGCCTTCTTATAATTTCGGTTGATCTGATTTCCATCGATTGGCCAAGTCACGTATTTGGCCTTGCATGTTATCTCCCTTCTCCATTAGAGACTTTAGCACATCAAATAATTATTTTACATATCCTCGTTCATATCTGGTTCTGTTTCTAGTGATTACTTTGTCTCTTCAGGCTGCTATTTTTGGCTTATTTTATGTCCTACAATTTTATGTGGAAACTAGACGTGTTTTATAGAATCATGTAGATTCTGAGGTAAATTCTGAGGTAATAATACTGAGGTAAATTTTTCGTATGCTTGGAAATGAGCGTGCCTTTTATTTTGGTATACTTTTAATGCTAGGGTTTTTGCTTCTTTAGTCAGAAGTTGAGCCAGGTTCGAGTTTGCTTCTTGCTTGACTCTAGGCTTGGCTTTGGGTCTTCCCTTCGCACTCTTCCCAGGGAGCACCTGTCTCTTGCAGCGTCTGCACCTGAATTACACTGCTGTTCTCACTCAACGCTTGGTAGTGTGTTGGTGGTTGGATCTAGAGAGAGTGAGGTGTATCTGATGTTTTGACTAAGCCCCAGTATTAGGCAGGATTTGTAAACTTGGTTCTTGGGGTGTGACTTTCACGAGTGTTCCTGTTCCTCCTCCAGATGGAATGTTGGGCCTAGCACATGTCCCTGCCCCTCCCTCAGGGGTACAGCTTTCTTCATCTTCCAGTCACCCACACACTTGCAGTAGGTTCCCACCATTGTCCTAATGCATCAGTTTCTGTTCCCCACTCCCTGTGTACTGAGGCACTTGCTTTACCAGGGGATAGAAGGATATGGGCCTTGGTGGAGTTGTAGTGATGGACATTGTCACTCAGCCCCACAGGGCCCCATGGAGAGGCTTTGTCAGGAGTCTCCCTGATCTTCCCTTTGAAAACCTGGCAGAATTCCTGGGTGAAAAAGGATAAGAAACCCTTATCTTTGTGGCCACCAGAGGCATCACACTTTCATGCTACTCCACAGTTAGCATTTAGTAATTAGGTAAAAATTTCTTGCTGAATATACTTACAGGATTACATCATGTTTGGTGGTATCTATACTTATCCTAAAATTTCTTTCAGCACATCATTTGCAGACCACAATCATATTAACTAATTAACTTTTTACATAATTATTATACTTTAATTGTGCTAAGATTTACTTGTTCTAAAAATGTCCATTACTTTATGGTTAAACATGGTTATAGGCATGAAGTCAAAATTTATTTTAATAAAAATTATCATATTTTTCTGTTTTAAAATATGTAATACTTAAAATTTTTTTTCTTCTGGTGATCATGAAAAGTGAATGATAAGGATATGAGTATGGGTGTAAACTCAACTCTTTATATGAGTAGAAATACATATGTGATTCTCCTTTTAAAAATGGCATTGTATGTGTAATAATGATACTTTTACCACACATTCCTTTCTGGAAACAATGGAACACACAAAAGAAACAATGTGAAAAGAAAAAAAGAAAAAAAATAGTTAACATTGAAAATAGAAAGTAACCACAAATCAGCCAACACCAGGAGGAAAACAAGCAATAGTGAATTAGTAATGAAGTTAAAAGAAAACACCAAACCGCATGTAATAGCATACAGTTCTTTGGTAAGTTCACTCCAAGGCCTCCCATCTGTCAAGGAAAGCATCATGCACACCTCCAGTCATGCACCTGACACTGGGACTTCGGTGATGCTCCTTTCTCCTTCAAACCACCCACTTCTGGAAAAGGCAGAGCCTCAGTATGGCACCCAGGGTCCAGGAAGGCTAGTAACCACAGGATGCCCAGATAGACCTCTGCGTTAGGCAGGGGAGTAAGCTGAGCACAGGCATGAGGAGTCCCCTCACCCCAGGGAGGGAGAAAGCAGATGGTTTGCTAGAATGAATTGCATGTCTGCCCTGGGGTTGTCCCTCTGTTTATCTTGCTCAGTAACCTAAAACAGTGGTAATTGAAGAAATTTATCAACTCTTTGCGCATTTTATTTGGACCATGTTCATGGCTCCTAGAGTGATTTATTATGGTATGTTTTTCTGGATGCTTGTTTGTTTCTCTGCTAGAGATTTTTATAGCTTTTTATTTATTTATTTTTATTTCAGAATATTATGGGGGTATAAACGTTTTGGTTACATAAATTGCTATTGTGCCATTTTAGTCAAAGTTATAAATGCGCCCATCCCCCAGATACTGTGCATTGTACGTGTTAGGTGGAAGAGTTTTGATTGAAATTTTATGCAAAAATTAACAGGCATTAAGAATCACACATAATTCAAATAACATTTCCCCAGGAAATGATGTAACATTGGCATTCACATTACTTAGAACAATATTGTTTTGTTCCTTTATTGCTTCACATTAATCATCCTGATTCTTTTATACTAAAATGCTAATTTACTTAAAATTTTGAATGTTTCTTGGAAAATGGCATCAGAATTAATGTTTCTATCAGTGCTCCTAAATGTTGCTAAAACACAATATTGCAACCTACAAAAAAAATTCTAATTTATTGAAAAGCATAGTTTTCATGTGGGCCCAGTATACTCTCCCTGTCAATCTTTTAAGTAAAAATGGAACTTTAATGATGACCTTTTTATTAAGCAAATACTAATTAATAGCTTATCATTAGGCAGCATTGGCAAACAAGAGAGCTACATCTCATAACCCAATCAGTTTATTCGTTTGAAGACAGATATTATATTCATAATTATAGAAATGAGTTTTTCATAATTGTTGGGGGCATTTCAGAGAAGACTTCCTGGGGAAGTTAGTAATTTCTAAGCTAAAATTCAAGGATGAGAGAAGAAGAACTATCTGAATGCAGGGAAAAGAAAAAAGAAGAGCATTCCAGGCAGAGGGCAAGGGATTCAGAGGCCTGTGGGGAAAGATTTTGGCAAGTTTGAGGACCTGGGTAGACCAGATGCCAAGAGTGTAGACAGTGGAGGATGCAGGGTGGTGTGGGCCATGATACGAGTCTGACAGTTGTGCAAGGGCAGCAAAATGTTGTTGAAGGATTATAAGGAAGAGGATATGATATTTGTGTTTTAGAAAGATCCTTTTGATGGCAGAACATAGAATGGTTTGGAGCATAAGAGGACTGGTCATTAGGAGACAAGCTTGTGGCTGTGATGGTAGCTTGGACTGGGTGGGTAAAGGATTTGAGAGCAGATAGAACCATGGAGAAGAGAACAGAAGGAGTCAGAGATGGCTTCTGGGATTCCTCCTTGAGCATGTGAGAGAAAGACCTGAATGGAGAGGAGGGGAAAGTGACAGTTCAGTTCTGGACATGGTGAATTTCAGGTGCTGCAAGAAGGAGTGGAGGACTCACATGGTGAGGGTGGGGAAAGGCACAATCTTGGCAGGGTGATGCCTAGAAGAAAAATAGAGATGCTTCAGGAATGAAATGTACGGCGTATCATCAAGCCCCCAGGGAATCTCACAGAATCTCTAGTAACATCTACATTGCCCCAAATTCTTTGTGGTGCAGCTCTGTTTGGCAGGAGGAGCAGAATGTCATGAAATGACTATTTCTGTTTGTTTCTGGGTTGGTACAGCATTGAGTACTAAAGTTATGAAAACATAAGATAAATATAAAAATATTAAATGAAACAAAGTTGATTAGGTTATTATGTTCATAATATGACAAAATAAAAATATAAAATGGGTTAACACAAGTTTATATATATGATATCTCTGTTATTACTGAAAAAACATCCTTTAAAATGACCCTGGATCTGTTTGAGGATTGATTTTACCTGTTACCCTTGAATTTAATCATACAACTTACAAAAAGACTCAAGCAATAATATTAAAAGTTCATCAAGTCATGGCCTGTCATGGACTAGATACGCATGTCTGTCCCCTCTGTCAGTTGATACGCTTGTTTTTATGTCCTTTACAGTGACCTGTAAGATGCCCCGCACAGCTATGGATACTATAAAAATTAAGAAAAGGATTTTGAGCCTTTTCCTGATTTGATCTTGTTCTAGTTGTACATTTTTATCCAAGTTATTCATCTCACAAAATAAATTGTAAATTATTTCCCTGAATTATTTGTAACACATGAAAGTTGTCTTAACTTTGATGAAATTTCATTACAGGTGATTATGTTGTCATGACGATATATTTTGAATTGAGTAGAAGAATGGGATACTTCACTATTCAGACATACATTCCTTGTATACTGACTGTGGTTTTATCCTGGGTGTCATTCTGGATCAAAAAAGATGCTACACCAGCAAGAACAGCATTGGGTGAGTTTCAAAAAATCTGTCCCACCATTTTGTATAATTTTAATATAGAAGCACTCATAAAAATACTTTCAGTGAAAGAGACTTAGTTTAAATGTGAATGACCTAGTTTGAATGTTACTTAATCCATGCTTGGAATTTTTTTTAAGTAGCTGAGTTAGATTGTTCTTTCTGACAATGGAATTTCATGTTGTGCTACTTAAATTAGGTTGGGGTTAGAGATTCATAATAATCAATCGTGCATTTGATACTATAAGCTGATATAATCACAGAAATATATGTACATCTGGAACCTGTCAACTCAAAATTCTCACAATATTAGTGGCAGGAAACAGAACTTGCCACACACCTTTATAACTGAAGACCCAGTATCAGTAAAATAGCTTCTCAATAAAATAAGGAGCTCTGCTTGTATATAGCAGAGCTGAACAAGAAAATGATCATTCTTTTCAGCTGTGATCCACACACTAAAACTCAGTCTTTTTATGAGTTTTTCTCTCTGTCCCCTAAAGTCCTCTATAAAACACTAAAGTTCAGTAGTTTTAAAACTGTGCAACATATTTTGTCAGTTTTTCTCTATGATATTTCCCTAACTTTCAACGTTTTGATTTTTTGAAGACAGGTAATATATAAGACTGAATATAGAGGTTGTTTCCCCCTGACAAATTTCTTCCAGACAAGAGGGAGCTGCATCAATTTCAAATCCTTGCAATGTCTTTCATATTTATATTGTGCTGTTTCTGTGTTTGCTTTTTTATTCTTTATTTGATTGTTCAACAACCAAGTACGGTTTGACTGAAATAAACTAGCCTGTAATATCTTCCACCTATACTAGTTTTACATGCTTATAAGCATGTATTTTCTATAAAAAAATGCATGATAGAATTGCTACCATCAGACAAAGATATTAACACAAATTAGTAACTACTCTTGGGGTTATGACCTTACAGTTACAAATGTTAGGTGCCATTGTACTGAAGACGTTTAAAGATCAGCTTCCAAGCAATATAACATGTAGTTATGTTTATACAACTTGAGACTATGAAAGTCTTATGGAGAATAGTTGTTGTGGGATAAAGAGCACAGAGATATTAGAACTACACAGTGCTGTCGGATAACAGCCCAGAGAGTGGAGAAACATCATGAACACTAAGGTGTTGAACTGAGACACCAGAAAATCTGTGCGTAGAAATGAAGGGGTACTCTAGATGTCCTTTAATAAAGCTTAAACCAAGCAATGACAAGATCAAGAACAACCACTAGTAAATTAACTGTCTGTAATAAGAAAGAATTTGACAGGCTTTAAACAAAAATGAAAACATAGCCCAGACTCCTTATCATGTATCACTCACAGTATACATATATAATAAATAAATATTAGACAGTCTAAGAAGCAAAAATATGTGATCTATGACCAAGGAAGAAAAAAGACTTAATAAAAAAACCAACTCTACAACTCTAATGTTGAATCAGTAGACATGGGTTTTTAAAACAGCTATTATAACAATGTCCAGGGACTTAAAGGAAAATATGATCTTAATGAATGAACACATGGGTTATCACACCAGAAAAGTACATAAAAAGAAATTCTAGAATGAAATATATAATGTCTTAATTGAAAAATGTATTAAATGTACTTAAGATAAAAGATAGCAGAAGAAAAAGGTTATGTAAAAGGGCAGACCACCAAATAAAATTTATGTAATCTGAAGAACACAGGAATCAAAGATTAAAAGAATGAAGAAAGCCTCAGTGTTCTGTGGTATAATATGAATATGTACAACATAACAGTAACTGAGGTTCCAGAATAACAAGAGAAAAGAATGAGGCCAAAAATTTTTGAAGAAATTCCCAAGTTTGGTGAAAAACACTAATCTACAAATTCAAACAGTTTATGAAGATACAAGCAGGAGAAATACAAAGAAAACCACCATAGTCCAAATCTTGAAAACTGAAAATAAAGAAAATTTCTGAAAGCAGTTAAATTAAAAATGTCCCATTATATGTAGAAGAGCAAAAATATCACTAATGGCTCATCCTTCATGAGCAATAATGGGGGCAGAAGATAATTAATTGCCATCTTTAAAGTACTGAAATTAAAGAGAGAACCTATCCAGTTGATATTCTATATCCAGAGAAAACATATTTCAAAATCTTGTTGGAATTAAGGCATTTGTAGATAAACAAAAGCTGTGACAGTTGTCACAGAAAATCTAAAACCACAATAAAAATGCTAAAGCAAGCTAATTAGGTTAATGGAAAAAAATAGAAAATTAGACTTATAAGAAGGAATGAAATAGATCAAAATGGTAAATATGTGATAAATATTAAAAACTATCTTTCTATTTTTATCCCCTTGATTAAAGTCAAAATGATAATATTACAAGATGTGGTTTCCAAAATAAAAAATAAATAAAATATAGGCCATAAATAGCAAAGAGGATAGGAAATATATGAAAATATATTCATATGAGTTTAAGTGTTACAAAAATGAGTGAAGTGGTACAAAAATAATTCTAAGTAGACTGTGATATGTTAAGAATTCTTATTGTAATTTGTTGAAAAATTAGGAAAATATAATTGAAAGCATATCTAAGAATTCAATGTAGGAATTAAATGGAATACAAAAACCAATTATTTAACCAAAGAAAAAGAATGAAAAAAGAAATAAATAAATGATTGAACAAGGAAAGAAGAAGGAGAGGAAGAAAAGAAAAATTAGAGCATATAGAAAAACAGCAAGATGGCTTACTACTAAAAATTACATTACATGGAAATGGACTACCATATAATCTAATTAAAAGGTAGGTATTGTCAGAATGATTAAAAAGTTAAGACCTCTACAAAAAAAGACACCTGCACTCAAATGTTTATAGCAGCACAATTCATAATTGCAAGGCTGTGGAAACAGCCCAAGTGCCCATCAATCCAAGAATGGATTAATAAAATGTGGTATATGTATACCATGGAGTACTATTTAGCTCTAAGCAACAATGGTGATATAGCACATCTTGTATTTTCCTGGTTAGAGCTGGAACCCATAGTACTAAATGAAGTATCCCAAGAATGGAAAAACAAGCACCACATATATTCACCAGCAAACTGGTATTAACTGAGTAGTACCTAAGTGGACACATAGGTACTTACAGTAATAGGGCATTGGGCAGGGGGGAGGGGGAAGGGGGCGGGTATACATCTACATAATGAGTGAGATGTGCACCATCTGGGGGATGGTCATGCTGGAAACTCAGACTTGTGGGGGGAGGGAGGGAAATGGGCATTTATTGAAACCTTAAAATCTGTACCCCCATAATATGCCAAAATAAGAAAAATAAATAAATAAATATAAAAAAAAAAGTTAAGACCTAACTATACATTGACTAAAAAAAGCATAAAAGAACACAGGTAGTTTGAAAGAAAATGGATAGAAAAACAGCTACCATATGAACAGCAAAGAAGCTGGTATACTGTGTTAAATGAGACAAAGTAAAATTAAGAAAAGGACTATTAAAGATACATAGAAACATATAATAACGATAAATGGATCAACTCAACAGAATGACAAAACATTCATAAATGTGTCCATGCCTAGTATCAGAACTTCATATTAAAAGAAGCAAAAACTGAGAATAAAATAATGAATTTAAAAATCTGCAATCAGAGCTGGAGATTTAAATATACTTCTATCAGCAGTATGCATAAACAGTCAAACCTGTTTACTTAAGTGATTAAACAAGTCAACAAAGAATCAGTAAAAGAATGGAGGATCTGAACAACACTATCAATGTCTTTGAGCTATTTGATATTATAGAAGTCTGAACCTAATAATTGCATCATGCAAATGAACTTTAATTTCTACCTCCCATCATACACAAAAATTAATTTGAAATGTACTATAACTTAAATGGTAAAGCTAAAAATGCAAGATTTCTAGAAAGATAAAACTTATGACTCTAATATTAGATTAGATAAAGATTTCTCAGACCAGAAGCAAAAAGCACTAATGAATCATAGATGAGGAAAACTCAAACATTTCTGGCATAAAAATACACTTGAATAAATATTTCATGTTCTTGGATAATATGCAACATCATGAAGATTTGTTGGTTATGTACAATAAACATATCTTTTCCAATGCATAGCTCCTTTTACTTTTCCTTTTTTATGCATTTGGTGTGCAGAAATTTTAATTTTATTTATTAATCCTTGCATTGATGTTTTTTGTTCTAAATATATTGTAAGTATGGCTACTTTAAGTAAGTATATATTAAGTAAGCAAGTTAGTATGGCTAGTTTACAAATTAGGACAGGACAAGTAAGAACAAAAAGAGGTTATCTGGGCAGAAGAGAAGTGTGAAATGTGGAACAGCAGGTGCTACATAGGACTGCAAACTATTTTCATTTAAAAATAAATGTTTAAAAGACAAAATGGCCAACAATGACAGAGAATTACTGGATAAACTGAAAGCTGTCCACTTGATTCAGGCATTTTAATGTTATTGTGAAGACTATGATAAGAAATATCATTGAAATGTTGCTTACAAAATTGTACAGACATGAAAGGTCAAGGTAAGATTTTGTGGAGTATGCAGTGTCAAGAAAGATTCCCTAAAAGAAGAGCCATGTTGGAGTGGGGGACGTGGGCGATCTGTCATTGTTCGTGTTCCCTGTGGCATCCGTTTACAATTCGATGACTGTCCTCCATGCAGGCATCACCACAGTGCTGACCATGACCACCCTAAGCACCATTGCCAGGACGTCCCTGCCGCGAGTGTCCTATGTGACCGCCATGGACCTCTTTGTGACCGTGTGTTTCCTCTTTGTCTTCGCGGCTCTGATGGAGTATGCCACCCTCAACTACTACTCAAGCTGCAGAAAACCAGCGGCCACGAAGAAGAAGACAACATCCGTGAGTTGCAGTAGCAGAGATTTTCCGGGAGGTAACAGGGAGATGGTTTGAGATAAATGTGTGCTTAAATACACGTATTGCTAAGAATCTTATAAAACATGATATAAATACTCATCAACAAAACTCTAATGAGCCGGACTGGGATTCTGAAGATGTGAATGTGACCCTCTAGCATCCTCCAGTGTTACCCACCAGTGACCTGGGTGGTTTAATCATACCATAAAGATTGCTGTCAACTAGGGAGCTCTGGGATGAAATGTTCGTGGCAGTTTTCTAACGAGATTTTTCTTCTTTCCTTGTAGTTATTACCTCCAGACTCCTCCAGATGGATTCACGAGCGGATAAGCCTGCAAGGACCCTCCTCGGTATGTATAGCATCACAGGCACCAGTATTCTGAGAACTTTTACTAAACTAGGATTGCATTTGAAAGCTCTGTGGCTGCTTATGCACGCATGTATTGGAGACCAATGAGTGATGCATGCACTCCCTTGAAAAATGTGCTTACTACTACTTAAAGACAATCCAACTTTGAAAATTTTGAAAGTAGAGCCCAAAATTAATCATAGTCTTTCTACATGGGGAATAGTGTGTGGCATACATAGTTCTGAGTTTTTTTCTAGGCATTCAAATAATATATACTCATGCATTTAGAAAAACTGAACTATGATCTATATAGTAGATCTGTATATCTTGCACAAATATGTACAAAAGGGCTATATTTGTAACTCAAAAATATGTACTTCAGTTTCCATGCCACAGATATTATTTCCTAGGATCATTTCAATGATTGCACTGCAGGCTTGTTATTGATGCGCAGGCAATCTTGGCTGGACACTGGGTTTATTCACACTTTTTTGCTTATATTCACATTCTTATCACTGCCATTTTGTATACACCTGTTACTGTTTATTTACTTATAAATTCCTGGAAGCAGAATGGCTGGCAAAGGGGTTGCACTGTGTTTGATAAATGGCATTCAACCAGCTCCATCAGCAGTACCAGATGCCCCCTCCCAGAACTCCCCCTACACTGCTTGACAGCCAAGCCCCTGTCGACTTTTCTCATTGGCATTTCTTTGATTATTGATAAAGTTTCATATTTTTACTTGTTTACTTTTGATTTGCATTTCTACTTTTATGAATTGCTTTAGAATGTCTTTTAACTTTTATTAGTACTGTAAAGTAGATATCTGCCAGTTATGGATATATGTTATATATTATATATAATATTTTATGGAATGTTTAATTTAGATAGCCACTTACAGAATATATGACAGATACTCACTTGTTTGTCATGTAGTTTTTATTCCAGCTTTCGTTGGCAACATTGTCATGGTCCTTTCTTGGACCTTTTCCTGCATGTATTATTTTAAGTTTCATGGTGTCAGATCTGTCAGCCTTTTCTTTTGTGGTCTCTGCTTCTTGTGTCCTGCTTCAGAAAGTCCCTTCCCCCTCCACCTCCACTCCGACTGTCCTCACTTTCTTTTGAGCACGTTGCTTGACAACACATTCTAAGTACTTTCGTGTATCAACTCACTATTATGCTTACCACAACTCATTCTACAGATGAGGAAACTGAAGTATGAAGAAACTAAGCCTCGCAGATATTAACCAATATTTGACAATTTAAAAATAAATTTGTTGCATTTAGTTATTATGGATCTGAATTTTTAGCATATAGTTGAGGTATGAAGAATCTAGCTTTATTGAAAAATCAAGAAATGTATGTTTAAATTGCTGATGTGATCTACCACTTTTATCACATAATAACTTATTTATATATAATCATGACTTTTATTCCTTTATACATATCAATTCATTAATTACAACCAGGCATCACAGGGAGTTTTCTAACTGTCGATCAGTACCTTACATTTAGTGCATTCCCAGCCCATGTTCATATGGAGACTCAGTAGTTATCTGTACTGCGCAAGTGTGGATCACAGTAGTTCTCACAGAAGGCTAGGAGGCAGGCCACCTTTATAGCTGTGGGAAACCACAGTGAACAGACAGATTTTGCCAGCAAATGCTCCAAATAACATCAGACTGAAACAGAGGGGAAAGGGACACATTACCACACACAGCCAGGGGTCTGGGAGTTGACAGAAAGAAATATTGACACATTTGGTGTAGAAATGATACTGCCAACAAAAAAGAAAAAAAAATCCTTTAACACAGGGAAAAAAATAAATTTTCACAAAACCAGGAAAAAAGGTTTTTAAAAAGAAAAGGAGGGAAAGTTTAACGACCTTGAAGAAAGTACAAAGAAACTTAGTTCACAGACAGAGAAGGTGCCAGGCCAGGTGAGATGACACAATTAGAGAGATCTTCAGCAGGAGTTATACTATAGCCAAAGAAAAAGGAAGTTTTTCAGCTATCGGATGAGAATTGTCAACATTACAATCTTTCACTCTGTTGTGAAAAATCACAGCCTCATGCTAGTTAAGGAGCCACTGTTACCAACAAGAAAATGCAGAAATTAGCAGCCTCCAAGCAAGGAAGGGCACAGAATCACAGGTGTGGACTGGGGCACATTGTCCTAACTGCTCTGTGCCTCAGTTTCCTGTCCTGTCAAACGCAAGGCTGATGACCTTTGCATGCACCCAGGAAGTGCAATGCTCCAAGGGAGGCCTGGGGTTGCCTCATACACACAGGCAAAGGAGAAGTGAGTCAGGGACCCAAGTTGGCCAAAGGGGACTTTGGGGAATCATTAATTAAAATCTCTATCTTGGGCATAGTTTGAAATTTTCATGACAAATGAGAGGGGTGCATGGAAAGCTGTACTAAAGCAATACAAAGTGCAGCTATTCAGGGCTCTTAATATCCTAAGTTTTATTTCAATCTTATAAAATGGAATTCATTTCAATTTATAGCTCATTTCAAAACAATGAGCTATAAAGACATAAATAGAACTCTCTTAAATATTGTATTGAGTCTCCAAGTGTTTCAGTGACCATGGGTCTTTAGTCCCCTAAATGAAGAAACGGAGGTTTATCTTGCCCCAGAAACTTGGCTGCTTCTTTGCCTATGGCCTCCCAAAGACACCGTTGGGATCTCTGGTGAGCCGTCCCCACCCCTGCAGAGCCTTCTGCTGCCCTGTGTGAGTCACCATCTTCCTCTGGGGCTGCCCTGCCATGTGGGGGCTGGGCTTCTCCTCTGTGTCTCCTGTCGCCCCAGGTCCCCCACAGAGCAAGAGACTACACAGGTCAAAGAAACAAGTGGATGAGTATCTGGCTGAACACTGTCACAGCACACACGTAGGAACACCTTTCATGCAACTGTTATTTCATAAAGGCAGAATTTTCCAACTGGAGCTTGTCAAAAAGAGGCAGATTCCTCAAATGCAGAGAAGCATGATCTGCCGTGTTTCAGCAAACCCCGTGGTGATATTTACACCCACTCAGGGTTAAGAACATTAACCTAGAGAAGACGCCTCCACATTAGAGCCATAGGGACAGCAGGGCTTCCATTTCTGCCCGTGCACTGGAATTGTGGGGGAGGGTGGACAGCTGCACGGTGAGGTGCCACCGCCACCAGTACCAGAGGTGGGTGGCCACAGTGCGAGCAGGAAGCAATGCTCCGTGAGCACATCTTGCTATAGGTCTTTCCTCACACACAGATGCTTCCCATTTATAGGGACGCACCAGAAGCTACAAGGAATGACTCTGCGAGCTCCACACTCCCACCTCCTCTCCACACGACTGTGAACATATCCCATCAAACTGAGATCCAGAAGGGGTGCTGTGTCTCCTTGTAATAGTATATTTTTGGTAAAAATAGAAGAGGTTCTCATGATGCTTTCTAATGAATTCTGAATAGCCTCTTTCCCAGCGCTGTGCCAACTCTGTACAAAGGAACCAGACAGCTGGCCGGCTAATAAATGGGCTTCTATCTCCATTTCTCCCTTGACATCACACTCTGCAGGTCCCACTGCCATGCCTGTCTCAGTTCAGCCAGCACAGACAAAACTAAAGCAGACAGGCAAATATGCTTTTTACTTCTCTTCCATTATTCAGTCAAATTTAGAAATGTATCCTCCTAGCAGAATTCACTGTAGCACACAGCTTAGAGCTATTTGGAAGAGCTTAGCAACTGTCTGAAGAATTGACAAGTCTATTTGCAGCCACTTCTCAAGGTTAGGAATGAGTCCTCTCATTTATGAGTGAACAGCAAGTCATCTCTCTCCTTTATCTGCCCCACTTTGACTTTTCCATGTCAACAGGAGAGTGAGGAAGTAGAAAAGAATTATTCCAACTGCACATATTTTTCATTATGCTTCTTGAGATGACAAGCCGTGTCCAGCAGCCCCACACTGAAAGCTCACTTGTTACCTGAATTACAGGGCACAAGGAGATTCATCATTCCTATGCACCGTATCTTCTACTGTTTACTAGTTAGAAGAAAAAATACCATACTTCTCTCTCCACAATTCAATATATGTACTGTTTACTGTTCAAGGAATAAATATAAGTACACAACTGCTGCAAATCAACAGAAAAGTAGCCAGAATGGGGACTTGAAATGGCTAAGGCACGTTTGGAAATATGCTCACCCTCCCTCGCCAATAACCTGGAAAACACAAGTTTGGGGACCGCGACGCACTTTTCCTTGCATTAGAATTGCAGAGATTGAAAAGACAGTCTCCAATGCTGGGGAAGCGTGGGGGATGGGCATGTCCATTTGTCCCCCTTTATCTGGGAGACACTATTGCTAGATACACCTCCGGCCGTGTCATGACATTTCATGATGACTGTTGTGTCGTTCTTGTTGCCCGCAGAACTATTCTCTCCTGGATATGAGGCCACCACCACCTGCAATGATCACTTTAAACAATTCCGTGTACTGGCAGGAATTTGAAGACACCTGTGTCTATGAGTGTCTGGATGGCAAAGACTGTCAGAGCTTCTTCTGCTGCTACGAAGAATGTAAATCAGGATCTTGGAGAAAAGGGCGTATTCACATAGACATCTTGGAGCTGGACTCGTACTCCCGGGTCTTTTTCCCTACGTCGTTCCTGCTGTTTAACCTGGTCTATTGGGTCGGATACCTGTATCTCTGAGTGCTGCTCCTAGTGTCACAGGAAGGGCATTTGGTTCACATTCTTGACCTTCCGTCACCCCAGTCCAGCAGTGACCAGTCGGGAGTAGCAAGGAAGGACACTGCTCAGTTTATCTTAAGTTATAAATTACATTTCAGCCACACAGGAAGTATCTGGATATATTTCTATTATGTATTTCATACACACACACACGCACACACATATTAATTGAGTTCTAAAGTGAAATTCTTGCTAATTCCTTACTGAATCTGTAGTCTGCTAATGTTTATGAATGATTTTTGGATATTGGAAATAGCTGATTATCTTTGCAAAGAAATCTATAAAACATGCAAGCCAATAGCAGAGATGCTCTCTCGGGCCCCACCCCTTACGTATCTTTCCCTCCCAGCCCTCGGCAGGCACAGCACCCACGAGTCCTGCATCACCCTGGCCCAGGCCACTCCTGCTGGCCTCCGCCCCTGCCTACTGGGCACTCAGCCTGGTATGAACTGCAGTGAGTTTCCACCCCAGTTTCTTCTCTTTGTGGCCTCTTTTGCCCCAGCACCACTGCTGGTAGGCAGGACCCCTTCACCTAACAACCTCACCCCAGGCCTGGGAAGAGTGTACATGCTTTGGCCACAAGTTTCCATTTAAGGATAAATACAATTTTCAAAATGCTCATGTTTCTGAGGTCAAAACTGTTGATTATCTCTGAATATCAGAAGGTCATTACTTTATTCCAAACTACTGAAAGTCAATGGTATTTGAACATTGGGTTCTTGGACTAGTTCAACAACATTTTACCTTAAGAGCTATGTTTTACTAGACCGAGGCTCAACCCCAAGTATGTGTCTAGCTTATGTTATTATGGGTTCAGTAATTGTCTTCATCTTGCGAAGAAAGGTATATAGCACACACAAGCCTTTGTCTTGGAAACATATTCCAGAGTGTGAAAGAAATGTAGATAAAATTTTAAAAACTCCTTAGTGAATATTAATTTTCAACTCAAACCAACTTTAGATGCAAAAAAATGGGTAATTGCTTTCATCAATTATATATTTTGATGAACAAGAATTATTTTATACTTTGAAATACAATACATAGCAAGATCCCAAAGAAAAAAAATCCCCCTAAATCAATACTCTTTTGATATTTTTATAACACAAAACCAATTTGTTTCTTGATATTAGTTCTTTGTTACAACTGGATGCTAGTACGTACTTCCTGACTCTTTTGAAGCTTCTCATCATCAATAGGGGAAAAAAAGTCCTACCAGTTAGCTAATAATGCTTGGCATTCTTAAAATTTTGGTACCAGAATCTCTATGCTTCTCATCTTTCTCACACAGAAAACTGAATTAATTTTATTGGAAACCATAATTTTTAAAATTATCTACTGTGCATACTATTATTACTCAGAAAAAAGTAAATTATTATGCAGAGAAAGTATAAAATAGTACTGATTTCCCGCAATTGTCTGGCTGCATATCAGACACAGAAGGGGATGGGAGTGGAAGGAGCCAGAAAAATTGAAATTAGATACGTCTGTTTACTCTTATTAACATTGTTGCATATCAAGTGAATGCAAAGATATAGATATATAATCATCCAGTTTTCAAGGGCTGAGTCTATATACTGTGAGACATTTTGGTTTGATAGTTGCTACATAAGCCACAAGCCAATTGACTTTGATCTAGCAAATTCAATTTAAAAAGTAAAATAATGTTTGTGGAGGAATAGGTTGAAAATAATGGTTTCAATGAAATTTCTCCTCTGTTGGAGGATGTCACATACTAATATCCCAGTTCTCTCTCTTGCATACCAACCCTTCCCACCCTTGGCAGCAGTACTTTGGAAGGACCCTGACCCAGGGAGCCCCAGATCTCACCACGACACTGAGGACAGACAGCAGGTGGCCCAAGGGCAGTCTTCCCCAAACACAACTTCCAACTTTATGAATTAATAGTTTCTACCAATACAAACAATTTCAACCTGCTATATTTTAGAAAAAGTTCTGGAAAGAACTGAATTTTCTGGTAAAATTCTTCTTGGGACAAAAATAGCAATGTAAAAGAATTTTTATAACATAAATTTGGTCCAGTTTTACCTTAAAGACAATTTTACTGATGCCTCTTGTTTCAAAACCACTCAATATTTGGATATTGTCAGCAACTCTCATGAAATTGTACATGAAGGATCTATTTAATATATACCAATAACCTCTGTTTTCTGAATCCAGCCATTCTCTTCTCCCAAGCTCAGCAGTCCTGATTCATCATTTCATCTCAGAAGAATCTAATAGATGTTCACTAATAGAGCATAATATAGATTCCTGCATATATAGCAACCTACCCATGACAGGGTCAGAATAAAAAGAACTAAAACATCCCCTAAGAGCAGAGCAATGCCTCTTTCTCTGCAGGCTTACATAATTCAAATTTTCCATCTCAATCCCAACTCCTGAGAGGAGACTTTTCAGCCCAATATGAGAGAGACTTGTGCACCTCACTCAGGTGCAGGGCTCAGGAGTTTTAAAGCATGTATGTGTTTACTTTCTGCAGGAAGGAGGAGAAGCAGCCTGGGGGGAGAGTAAGGAAAATCCACCCCTCTTTAATTGAATGACTCTCCTTTGCTGGCATGCTTGATTAGGAAGGATACATACGCATGGGCACGTGGGTGGGTGCAAGACTGTTCTGCACAGCTAAGCCTGGCTTGCTTTGCTTGGAGAACTGGGAAATATTTTTGGTGCAGGTTGTCTGAGTGATCTGCATTCCAAAGGTGCTACTGTGTCCCTCACCTTCAGAAATACTCTGAATCAAGGAGATGACAGTTCTGTATTTTGGCAAGGATTCCAAATTTCGGACCACTGTGGATCATACTGAAACTGTGACTGTCTCTCTTTTAAGCTTCATCCTGGGTGAGGGGGAAAGATGAGAAAGGGTATTTTACATTAATGGAATTAGAGCAAAATGCCTCCTCGGAGCCTGGCAAGTTTCAGCTTCTGCCAAGTCCCAACGCCACCTACCAGAACAGAGACTCCTCCGACACTGCACGGAGAAGGACGATGTTAACATAATTTACTCTGGACCCAGCCAACACTGCCCCCAGTTTACCCAAAATATGCCTTAAAGTGAAGCAAAAAGCTCAAATCATTCACATCTTATGAGATTTTCCATTTCCTGCAGTCAGCTCTATTTCAAGCCAAGTTTTATCTTTTATGAATAGATGGAAATAGGATTTCATTCCTTTATATGCCAAACGTCTTAATTTTACATCAAATGAGTTAAATTCAAAGTTTTCGCATATTCTTCAACTGAGGAAATGCTTGTCCTCAATAGCAAGGCATTTTCACCCTCCACAAGGGCCAGTCGGGCCAGCCCACAAGTCAGCAACGACAGTCCTTGTGCTGGGGATCCGAGTGTCCACATGAAGCCCTCACACCAAATCGCCCTCCGCTGCAGTGAAGGCAAGTCTGTAGGCAGGTCGTTTTGCTGCTCTGCAAAATACTAGGCTCTGGAAGCAATGGGGGAGGGGCCATAACCCATTTTTCACTGCCCATTGCTGGCCACAGCTAGAAAGCAGGGGGCCACTCTTTATCTAAAGGGCTAGAACACAAAGCAAACAAAACCTCTTCTTCAATGATCATTTTTTATCTCAGCTGCCAAACTGGAAATTTTCTGTGATTTCCTTTGAGACTTGAAGAATCATAACTGGTCTCCAGCCATTATACTTCGTATCAGTTCAATGCTCTCCAGGCACAAAGCATTTTGAAGTCATCCATGATTTCGCAACTGTTTCTGAATGCTTTTTCTGAGAGTTTTTAAACTGTATACGTATGAAATTTCGCATTCCATTTCTGGGGAAAAAAAGTAGTGAATGACTTGGGATAAACATAATCCAGTGTGAATATGCATTGAAATGTATACTCCATTTGTACTGAAATATTGTCCACCTTGGGCTTCAGAGCACTATCATTTTAAAATACTTAGAAAGATGTCTAGAAATAAGGGGGAAAGAAGCAGATTGTGAGTACATTCTAAATGTTAAATTTACAATTCTCTGCTGAGCCCTCTTCAGATTGCCCAAAATTGAGGAAGTATGTAATCAGTACATATTTTTTTTCTCAAATTGGCCTGTAGGGAACATTCAAGTTCAAACAGTTTAGGAGTACCTCTCCATTTGTGTTCTCCATATAATCACATTCAAAGAACCAAAAAATAACAGTTCGGGACAAATGAGAGGCCCCATCTCCAATCCCTTATTGACTTATATTTTATTATAAAAAATAGATCTCTACCATCATAGGGAGAAAACATGTATGTCTGCCGATGGCAGGATAACAACTCAGCCATTCATTATTTCTAGAATAAAAATTTGGCTTTGTTTTTTCTTAACATCTGATAGTTTTAAAGACTAGAGATTTGGGCATTTCTGCTCCTTTTAAAATTTCTTCTGATTACAAGCTAGCAGTTCCAGGATATAAACCTGGTCTAGTTCTATTAAGGTGAAAAGAAAGGCAATTTCCTTTTATTTATTTTCCAGAAGGCCTAGGGTTGAATGATGCTTTGGTTTTTTAACATTGTCAATAAACCCCCCTAAACCTCTTATTACTCTGGTTACCTAAAAGCCAAATTCTAGACCAATTTAAATAAGTCAGTGCTAAAAAAATTAGTTGAATAATCAGTCCCTAACAAGTTTTCTGTGTTTTGAGTTAATTAAGTGGTTTTTCAGATTACGTTATACAGGAACATGAGCTAGAAAATAATTAGGCAGTAAAACACATGGTCACACACACACACACACAGAGCACACCCAAAACAAACACTTTGAATGTAGCAGTCAGGTCATTGAGGCAAATGTAAATTGCTTTCCTTGGACTATTCAGATAATCACCTACTTTCACCACTTCACTTTTCACATTTGTAAACACGCACAGGGTTTTTCCAGCCCAGTGAGCAGGCTACAAAACGTGAGGGCGGTAATGGTTCCTTCCGGGAAGGAAGATCCTCTAGATCAGCTGAACAGTTTAAATTGAACTGGTTGGAAAGAACATTGATTGCCAATAATGAAATCCCTCAGACTGAACAGATAAAAAAGCTATATTTTTCTCCTTTCTTTTCTAGTCATTCAAGGTTCCTTCTTCGTTTTTCCCCAAAAAAGTGACATTTATATTTTCTATGACCTCCTTAGACCCAGATTTCTCCTGGTGGCCTCACACATTGACGTCCCATCCTAGTGAATGACATGTATGTACATAACACACATCCAACGTGTATTTTCTTAAATATGTATTTCTTGTGTATCTAAGAATATATAACCAAGTCTGCAGCATGGGTATTGCAGTCCCCACGACACCAGTCTTCTCAAAATGACAGCATTGCCACCAACCACTTTTTCACAAAAGGATTAAAATTCCCATTTTCCATCAAACATTTCTCTAATACACAGAAACGTGTAAAGTGGACTCCCAAATCACCTGTGGGAAAGTAATCTGTGGACCCTGGAGCTAAGCTGTCACTTTATGGACATTTCAAAAATCAAACTGAGTTTTCAACTGGGAAGTCTGATGCCTGTGGCAGGGCGGGGAGAGCTGCTCCTGGCAAGGCTGTGCCTACCCAGGCGTCAGAGTTGTCTCTCCTTGACTAATTAGCTCACGTGCGTGGGAAAATGAGCCTGTGCCAGCCCACAACACTTACTGGGGAATAAAAGCTCATTCCCTAATCTAAGGAGATCCAATTTGAGAAGACAGTGTTTGACTTTGGATTTATAAAAGATTTATTGGAAACATCTTAAGTAAGTCCTAATCCACTGTCAGATGCTGACTTTCAGGAACAAATGATAAGTGCTTTGATTTGGTTAATATTTATTACAATGGGTTTTTATCAAGCATTCATGTTTACAACAGGAATTATCTTTTGGTCAATTTGGCCAATAAATGGAAACCCCCAATACCCAGAGCAGCTCTTCAGTCACTTGGATGGGAGACCTGAGCTCCCAATCCTCTAATTAGCCTTGACTGTCCCAGGAAGCCCTTGGTTAACCTGCCACATCCACTTGTTCCATGAACTTCCAGAGTGGCCCTGGAAGCTGCAGAGAGAGAAAAAAGTGAAAAAATGCACTCTTAAGTGACTTTTAGTATAATTAAAAATAAATAATGTGATAGATAATGCACATAGCTTGCTGACTACAATTTCAAATTGTCAGATATGACCAAAGGTATTTAGATAAAATAAACCATTCTACACCACAGTGCATCATCATCATCATCATCATCATCATCATCATCACTGCCATCCTCTTCCATGTTCCACAGTAGCTAAGGGCAACTGATTCAACACAAATTTTAATGTCTTTTCCAAACTATAACAAAATTAGAACTTACATTGAGGAAAAAAGGAAAATGTGTTATCTGAGTTTAAATATTAAATACACAGATCATAAGCCAAAATTTTGCCTAAAACATTTTCAGAACTGCTCTTTTCCCCAAGCAGCCCTGTCTATCTACCCTGCCTCTATCAGAACTTGAAATTACTACTTAGGAGAACATTCCACCCAATTTTTGTTTGTTGATTGCTTTCTTTTTTTTTTTCCTTTTTCCATTTTTACCTTAGTCAGCTATTTTATTCCTTTCCTTAAAGATGACATTTGAATTGTCAAAGAGCTATCTCTTTTCCCTCGAATGGACGCATCTTTGGAAACTGCAAAACCTGTGAGCCCCAGAGGACAATCACTCTGTGGCTTATCATATAATCTGGGTCCAGGCTTTGGTTCCCCCCAGTTTATCTTGGCATTTTTACTTTAAATAGAAATAGACACAGACACAATATATGAGTGAAATTTATAGTGTTTACTATTATCTCTGTTTAGAATAGTTATCTTATTAAAACATTCTAAAAGACACTTTTAATCATTCCTGACATTTGAAGTGGCTAATTTTGTGGTAGTGAACAATGTTTACATGCTAATATGTTTGTACAACTACATGATGTGTTTTTTTCTTCACGAGCAGCTCCTGGACTGAGCAAAAGTTTCACTTTTTCAGGGGCGCTCTTTCCATGAAAGACTGTAGGCGAGTAGCGGTTTGCAGGGATTGGACCTGTATCTTGTTAGGAGCAAGGGGCCATCTTGTGTTTACATGCAGTGATGTGTGTATTTGTGTCTGTATGTGCAGTGGTAAAACTGGAACAACTTATTCATGTGTGTATTACTCTACCCATCACCCCAAATTTAGCTGAAACAAGTAGAAGGAGCACAGTTTTCTAGTGATAGCTTATTAGCTTACCAAGCCTCTGGTTACAGTAAAAAGGAGAGAGGGAAGGGGAAACAGGTAGAGGGAGGGAGTGGGGGAGAGAGAGAAAGAAAAATTGACAATCTTTGTATTTCCTAAAAACGTGGGTTCTCATTCTTTTTTAAAAAATCAAGCTTAAATCCCTGATCAGAAGTCAGTCTGGAGCCCAAACAAGCCTGCCTCCTCTTGAGAGCACTTGGGCATCAATCAGTGTTTTCACTTGGGTGCACATCTGAGCAATCCCTTCATCATTTGTGCATCCTGGTCAAGTTTATCTGCTAAGCTCAAAGTACTGCTCAAGATTTCCATGGCAAACAGCCATCCCCACGCTAGTTTAGGAAGCCGCACTCAGATAACAGAAAAGCATCAGGTCTGCCTTGAACCGTGCAACGTGTAGGAATCAGCCATCGTGCACGGCGGGCCCTCTCATTTGTGACGCTTGTGTGGAAAGGAAAAGCTTCAGGGGTCCAGCGAGGTGCCCCCGGCAGAAAGGGAGGCTGAGGGGTGCAGGTGTGCGGTGTTTCCCTTCCTGCTGTGAAGCAGGTCGTCTGGAGGAAGGCGGAGGGATTCCAGCAGCCGAGAGCGTGTGACTTTGTCTGAGAGCCCCGTTCGCGTGTGTGCGCCC